GACATTGATTTAAAGAAGTTTGTTTTGATAACCTCCAACTCATCCCTAATCTCCCTTTCCATATTTGTAGCTTCTTTCTCTCTCATTGAGAATCCTAATTCCAATAATTTAATATATTTACTCATTTGTACTGTCTGAAATACACATAGAATACTACAACCAACAACAAGCCTACTAAGAAAAGCTTAAGATTCATTTGCAAATTGTTTTTGTTCTTAGAATATATCTTACTATACTGTGTTCACAATACTTGAATTAATTCTTTATTCTGTATGGTAATGTTAGCAATTTGATTATTCACATAGGCTCATTTTTCTTGTTTGTCTTCAATTTTAGCATTTTCTTTTGTTTACCTTTCCGTTTTGAATATGTAAAGCATTTGGCTCAGAACTGTATACGGAGGTGTACTCAGAAGTCTCATTCCTATCTTTTTTCCTTCCACACTGTTCCCACCCACCCCCTTATAAATGTAACCATTTCCATTATTTCCTGGCATATTTTTTCTTTTTCTCTGAAAAAGATATTCTTTTCCCTTCTTTCAGAAATGATAATTTACTATAAAAACTCTTTTACACCTTGCTTTTTTTTTTTTTAAACAAAGAAGTTTATCCTGGAAATCATTTCTCATCAGCTCATAGAATTCTTCCCTATTTTTTAATAGGTATATAGAACTCCTTTGTGTGGGGTGTACCATAATTTAGTCAACCTGTTTACTATGGATGTGTATTTAGCTTGTTTCCAATTTTGCTATTTCAGATAATGCTAACATAAAGAATCTTGTATTTGAATCTTGTGTTGTTTGAATCTTGGAGTTGTTTTTTTGGGGGGGAGGGACGGCGGTAAATTCCTAAAAGTGGCATGCTTGGGTCAGAGAGAAAATGTATCTGCAGTTTTGATAGCCAAATTACCCTCCTTAGGGGTTGTAGTATTTTGCACACCCATCATCAGTGTTATAAGATGTTTGTTTATGAGAATTCCTTCATTAACATCAAATATTGTAAACTTATACATGATAAGAATTGTTCTTTTAGCAAGTGGTGTATTGTATCATCAGGATCCCTATGGAAAACAGCTGACACTCAAATTAGGATAATTCAAGGAAGGTTTATACTCAGAAACTAATTACAAAGTTGTGTGCAGAACATAAGGGAATCACCAGGGGTGGTACAGGAACCAGCATCAGTGGAGCTGTTTTCACTCCTAGACCTGAAGGGACCAGGGGAGGGAAAGGTTGCAGGAACCTAGGAGAGAGATTCCTGTGTAGCAGACTGCCTTTGGAGATTTCAGAGACCTTTGGTCCAAAGACATATCCAGCCTGAGAAGACTCCACAGGGAAGGAGTCAGGGAAATGCATAACCCTTCCTTCCTCTGACTTCCTGGGGTTCACTCAAAGGGTGCAGGAGTACCTTGATGTAGTTCACATGGGTCAGTTTTCAAGGGCAGAGAGCAGTGTGAGAAGAGTGGAGAAGGAATCTGAAGGGACAGACAAGATATCCTGCACAGGTATGCACGTGTAGATTCGTGGACCCTTGGAAAGAACTGTGCAAACCAGAGGTTTGGACCATCTGTCTTAATCCCCTTCGCTGGTAGAGCTGCCGAGTGCCTGCAGTGTGTGTGGCCACGTCTTATGTGAATGCTGCTTTCCACTCTGAGATTTCCCTTAAAAAATCCATCAGCTCTTATGCTCAGTTTCAATAGTTCTTAGCAGTGCTCCTCATTGGACTCTCTAAGTATAAAGCCAAATAGTCTTTATCCTCCGATTCCTCTCGAAATAGCTTCAGAGCTCTCTCTTCACCTTAAGAGACTAAGATCCAAAGTAATTTTAGACCCTTCAAACTCCATCCTGTTGCTAGTATCTGTAGGGAAGAAACAGTGTCTGTTAAGCTCTTTCTTCTGATTGCTCTCATCTATCTATAAGTTTTATAATTTTCTGAGATAATTTCATTACAAATATTGTATTTGGAGTTGGACATTGTCTGAGTAATAAAAGAAAAAAGGGCTTTATGGCCCCAATTACTTCTGATCGGAAGTTAATTACAAGCCTTCTCAGTGAAGCAGACCCACTGTATATATAGTTACAGCATCTTTGTATTTTTGAGTGTGTTTTTAGCCAAGTGGATTCTCTTCCATAATCGAAATGATTTAAATTTTGGTGGATTGCTGAGTGATTTACCCTCTCATTTCACCTTTCATCTGTATTAACAGTATCTTGTTGGTAAGTGCCATGTGTTTCCTCTTGTTTCATAATATGTCCCCTCTATAACAGCAGATAAGCTCATTTTTATTTTAGTTTTAAAATGTCATATCCATTTCACTACTTTTTAGGATTTATTCTCATAGATCACATTTTCAAAGTTAGGCTTTAGGACTTAACCCCACTTTTTCTCTAATTTTATAGTTGAAGCAAAGTAGTGTTTAGACAACCTAGTTAACTATAGATAATATTTATTCTATTATTATTTTGTCATTCCTCTTAAGAGTCTGTTTGAATTAATAGAGCTTCAGTTATGAAGTTTTTATTTCTAAATAGCACTTATTATTAATTTATTGAAGTCTAAAAATCACTAGTTTTTAAAGTGCATCAGTTATAAATGTAAGCCAGATTCCTGCTGATGGGGGGAGTTGATTTTCATATTACCTGAAAGATTTAATGAGAACACTTTTTAATATGTTATAATTACTTTCTTCAGTGAGTATGACATTACCATGTCTCTTCATTAACCAAAAATCTCAATGGTTCTGATCATCACTTCGAACATTATAACCATTCTATCATACTGAAGGTGTGGAAGGTATAGGAGATTTGGGTTCAGTATTCATTCATTAATTCAGTCAGACAAGCCTTCTGTGTACTGACTTCTTTGGTAGGCCCTGAGGATTCAAAGATGAATAATCACAGTCACTGCCCACAGACATAGAAACAAATAAAGTATGTAATAAGGGGAAAGATGTAAACAATGTAGTGTGGTAAGTACTAGAATCAGTGTGTGCTTAAGGCGGGTGAGTGACACAAAGCCTAAGTAACGTTTCTTGGGATGGTATCAGGGAAGACTTGTTAGGGGAGAAGACGTGTAGATGCCTAAAGGTGAACAAATGCTAATTAGTAGTAAAACACTAATAAAAGATGCAGTCCTATGCTTTGGGCTCTAAAATTCTATTATTTTATTTAAAGATAAGTTAGCCAGAAACTTAGACACTTGAAAATACAACTAATGTTATGAGGTTATAAGGTGTATGCTGATTGTCAAGTGAATGATAGAGTAACTAACATTTATTGAAATACTCTGCTACACAGACTTCATGTCTTATCACATGTAATCTTCACTAACTGTCTGATAGGTTCTGATATTAAGCTCATTTTACGGATGAAGACACTGAGACTTACAGAATAACCTCCTGAAGGTCACACAGCTAAAATATGGAACTAGGATACAAACTCCGACAGAATGACTTTAGAAACAGTGTTCTTAACCATAAAAAAATGAACATTAAGGACCATAGGAACTCAGAGGAGAAGGAAGAGCTTGCCTATTGAGAGCTTTTGGAGAAGAGTGACAAATTCGATAGATGATAGGTATCATGAAGAATATTCCAGGCATGGTTATTGGCATAAATGAGTGTTCATTGGGCAAAGTGTACCTGCAGGACAAAGCAGTATGGTGGGTAGTCTGCTCATGTAGGAGCATCAGGGAAGGTCAGGCTGGAAGCTGAGGAACGTGAAGGGAAGTACTCTGTGTGTGGTCTCATAGAGAGCTGTGAGGTTCTGGGAGCAGGGGAGTAAGAAGGGAGTCGGTGT